AGATATGAGGGTTGGCCTAAGGTATGGATACAAGCAAACTAATCATACCAAGAATTCATTTATGCTTTTGTTTTTTTTCAATATTTACATGAATCATCATTTATGATTTGTAAGTGGCAGTGGAGGAGCCAATTGACTGTCTAGTCTTTGAGTCCAGCCACTCGCACCTATAGTTTATGCAATAAAGTCCAAGATGGGTTCAGAGGTTTATAAATACTCTGATATAGAAATAACGTATATACTCATGAAGCAGCAATAATCTATAACAGCAAAGATGATACATATGTGTTTACTGGAACACTAAATTAAGTTCATATTAAATTACTATAAAGGAAAGCCGCAAAATGCGCATCAACGACGGCTAATTTCTCCAGTACTAGACTAGCAATACTTCGTAGTCATGCATAATCATATACTTTGGCAAAATAAACTCTAAGTTCTCTCCATTTCAGCTGCGCGTTGTCTTATAAAAGGTTTTGAAATCTCAAATGTTGTTGAAATTTTACGATGTTGTGTACAGTTTCCCCAATCCCAAGCAACGTGTGCAGGCGATGCCGCGTACAGCGGTACGGGCGCAGGCGAACATAAAAACATGTGACGTCAGCGTCACTTCGACTTCGTTGTTATGTTGTTGAACAAAGTAGCAGTTGGCGGCCTGATTACTGATTTCGCATCTGTCTTGTTGGAAACGCGGCAGCTCAAATGGGAGGAACTAGAGTTTATTTTGTCATATAGGTAGTGTGATTATGCTGACACGAAGTATTTGGCCTAGTCTAGTACTGGAGAAATTAGGCGTTTTGGATGCGCATTGTGCGGCTTTAACACTAGACAGAGGGCACTCAAAGAGAGTGCATACGCTTCGTTGAGCGTGTACATGTATACATGTGTATAACAGCTGGCCTCGCTGTTGCTGTCGCATGCCTGAGTTCTAGCCCAACCAAAAGGCGAGCTGCTGCTGCCCGGACGTTCTAAGGCGAGCTGGCTGCTGCTTGGACGTTCTAAGGCCATGCTGGTGCTGATTTCGATCGCCTGGCAACGTACAGCGTATAACAGCTGCCTGCGCTGCTGCTACACACACACACGAAACACACAACAGAACATCACACGAGAGGGGTCACATTACCTCCCTGCACTTCGTTTGGCGGAGGTAATAACACCATACAACACCTCGAAACAGAGTAAAAAAACCACAAACTAATTGAGAGCATTGAGTTTGTAATACATCTAGTTGTGTAAGGTCAATCATATACATTCACAACAGATTGACACGGAATAGGTATTGAAGCAATAAATCTGACAGTGTTATCGGAAGGTCCAGCTCTGTTATTTAGGTCATAGAAAAAGAGGGTATAAATGGCCGAGGCGCTGTAGGAAAGTACATGATTAATGTAAACACTTGTGCGTTTTTGTTTTTGCTATTGATACACAATGCATTGCAAAATTATCCCAAATTTGACCACAATCGTATTGTAATTGTATTCTGTAACACAAAACGCACTCGTGAATTGAAGTAAGATAGTTATCACTCTTGCCTTATCTGATCTTATTATGGCGGCCGGGAGACTTTCCGTATATGCTTATTGTGACATACATCGCCGCGCTGACTGCAATGGACATATTACAGCATTGCCAGCATGTTGCACAGACTATGTTGAGCAGCAAATGACAACAAAGTTGTACGTAATTTTGCCACAATTTGTCCAGGCAGCAGCAGCAACAGCGAGCCAGCTGTTATACACATGTATACATGTTACACGCTCACGAAGGTATGCACTCTCTTTGAGTGCCCTCTGTCTAGTGTTAATATAATTTAATATGAAACTTAAGTTAGTGTTCCAGTAACAACATATGTATCATCTTTGCTGTTTAGATTATTGTGCTTCATGCGAGTTATATACGTGTATTTCTATATCATATATTTATAAAACCTTGACCCATCTTGACTTATTGTATAACTATAGTGTGGAGTGGCTGACTCAAAGACTAGACAGTCAATTGGCTCTCTCTCACTGCACTTACAAATCAATAAATATGATTCATGTAAATATTGTAAAAAAAACAAAAGCATAAATGAATTCTTGGTATTGATAGTTTGCTTGTGAGATCCATACCTTGGCAACCTCTGGCAGAACTAATGAATAACATCCACCAAAAAAGTGGAAAAGAAATAAAGTGCAACCTCATATTAACCTCTGCTTTTTACTTGACTGAATAAAAATAGTACTACTACTTGTAAGCAGTGAACATGAAAAGATTGCCAACGCACTGCCACACTCACAGTAACAGATCATCTGGTCTACAGGCACTTGGGGCATTTCAATAATAAAATGTTTGTAAATTAACACAAATTTTATTTATTACCAAACTCTCAACTTTTATGTATTCTCCCTTTACCAATAACGCCACGTAAATGCCGTTCAAATACTCCTCTGTAACACACAGTCTTGCCGCATGCATGTAGTGTGAGCAAACACAGAAAGATAAAAGCTCTATCCATCTGCAAGTTTCTATTTGTAGACAGTGGCATATGCATGCGTGCAGTGAGACTGTACTGCAGAGAAGCATTTAAGCAGCAATTTATTAATACAGAGAATTATTACTGATAATAAGCGAATTGTAATGGATAAACATTAAGACTTTGGTAGTAAATACTATTCATGTTTATTTACTATCAGTATCATTTTATTATTTACGTAGATATTCGTCCGAGCGTCAACGTCATCAAGAACGTCAACGTCATTCGGTTGAGATATCTTCCGAGCATCGGAAACTGGTTGTTCATGGCAATTTTTCATTTATCCTAGCATCGTAGAGTATCAGAACAGATCAAAGCTTTCTTTACACTATAGCTGTTGATACTTTCTTAGCAATATATTCTTCTGAGCATCGGAAACACGTTCAGTTGAGATATCTTTCTGAGCAGCAGAAACTGGTTTTTCAAAGCTCTTTTTCCAAGCATCGAAAGCTTTGTTTTCACTATAGGTGTTATTTTACATTTTGTAATAAACAAATTTATGTGGAAAGCATATATGCCTTCCAAAGCCTAAAGTTTTACTTGGAACTACGCTACATTCTATTTTTTCCGCTATATCGCAACCGAACGCGTTTCCGATGCTCAGAAGAATACCCACGTCTTTTTTTAATTTTGTTATTGTATTGGAACGGGTCACAAGTGCATCAATGCATGTAGCTCTACACAGGCTATAATATAGTCCTAGAGCTACTTCTAGTAGTACTACTAGAGGCTAGCACTCAGCTACATTGCATGATCCTGTTGTCTGGTTTAATCATAGCTCTAGAACTATAGCCCTTCACTCTGCCACAGGGCTATAGCATAAACTATGATGAAACTGAGCAACGAAACTGCTCCCACTGCTCCTACGAGAAACAGATCACGGAAAAAACGAGGGCAGCCCAAATTACTCATGGGGGTGTGGGTATAGCACTGGCGCTGATTACAAGGTTGTCAGGCAACATAAGATAAGATAAGATAAGAATCTTTATTTAATGTCAGATATCACAAACAATAAACATTAGCCCTGATGGGCTATTATTCCGACAAACATCGTTTTTCACACTCTATCTCTTTTTTTGCCGAGTGCTAAGCAGAGAAGCAGTGTGTACCATTTTTCAAGTCTTTGATTAGAAAAGTGCCAGTTCACTCCATGCATTAGTAATGAGCTGCCACGTGTTTTTGCCTATATTTCGGATGACGGTACCCACGCGAACATTTGAACGGAATTTGCAAGTAGTGCTAAGACTTTTAGCCCTATCATTTTGCGTTCTGTGAGCCGTTTTTCATGGGAGCAGTGGGAGCAGTTCCGCTGCACAGTTTCAACATAGTTTGGCTCATAAGGTCTATGTCCCCCAGGGTACTGCCGGAACGTACCCTGGTAACTATCTAGCTGATATGGTTAG